ATGCTGCTTGGCCTGCTGTGTTCATCCAGCTCTACACCTTGTTGTCTCAGATTCTCCAGCATCGGCAGTTCCTACTATCTCTGAATGGATGTTGTCCTGATCTTGTTGCATTTGAACATGGACTGCTTCAATATATGAGGAGTTGTGAATGGTGCTGAACATTGTGCCATCAGTGAACACCCCAACTTCTGACCTTATGATGGAGGGAATGTCACTTATGAAGGGGTAGCACTGTGGCTCAGTGGTTAGCACTGCTGCCTCAATGCCAGGGAACCCGGTTCGATTCCAGCCTTGGCTGACTGTCTGTGCAGAGTTTGCACATTCTCCCCGTGTATGTATATGTTTCCTCCGGGTGCTCCAGTTTCTTCCCACAGGGTAGGTAGATTGGCTGTGCTAAATTTCCCAGTGTCCAGGGATGTGCAGGCAAGGTGGATTAGCCATGGAAATATAAGATTACAGGGATAGGGAAGGCAATGTCCCAGACCCCCACCCCACACACCAGGCCTTGTTACCACACAACCTGCCACTACACACCCCCTGTGGCTAGTCACTAACAGTCCCCATTAACAACTATTCACCCTCCCAGGCTGATCGTTAGCAACTCCTTTGTCTGTCCATCTGTCTTTCTCTCTCTTTGGGCTCTATCTTATCATTTACTCCCTACCCCACCCACCTCCCTATTTTCTGCATATAAACTGACGTTTTCCCAGCCACCATCAGTTCTGAGGAAGGGTCACCGGACCCGAAACATTAACTCTGTTTTCTGCTCCACAGATGCTGCCAGACCTGCTGAGCTTTTCCAGCAACCTTGTTTTCGTTCCTGATTTACAGCATCCGCAGTTCTTTTGGTTTTTATTGGGATAGGGTAGGCGTTGTTTCTGGGTGGGATGCTTTTTGGAGGGTTGGTGTGGATTTGATGGGCTGGATAGCCTGCTTCCACACTGTAGGGATTCTGTGAAGCGACTGAAGATAGTTGGGAACAAAAACAAAGCTCAGCAGGTCTGGTAACATCTGTGAAGGAGAAAACAGAGTTAATGTTTCGGGTCCGGTGACCCTTCCTCAGTACTGTTGTTGAAGATAGTTGGGCCGAGGGCATTAACCTGAGGAACTTCTGCAGAGATACCCTGGAGCCCACATGATTGACCTCCAATCCCCCTCTGGGTCAGGTACGACCCAACATGCAGAGAGATTCCTTCCCTCCCCCGATTTCTATTTATTCTAGATTTGCTTGGGCTCCTTGATGCCACACTGGATCGAAAGTGGCCTGAATGCCCAAGGGTTGTCACTCTCACCTCCCTCGTTTTCAAAACTTATGCCAGAATGTTTTTTTTTAATCATTTGCTCCCAAGCGGAAACTGAAAGTTTTAATGATTATAGCAGCAAGACTTTACCTTTAATTGGATTACTAACAACTGCAGCAGTCCCTTGCGAAACGGACACAGCAGCTTGTGTGAGGAATTTACACAGACGTTTCAGGCAAGTTAGAAAATGTAAAATCAAAAAAAAAACAGAACGTGCTGGAAATAGTCAGCAGCGCTGGCGGTCTCTTTGGAGACAGAAACAGAGTTAACAGTTTGAGTCCAATATGTCTCCAAGTAGCAATTGTATATATTTTTTTAAAAATATCGTCTAATGATGTGCGGGAAGGTTTCTGATTGAGATTGAAGAGGCGCTTGGTAATTATTTGTCCTTCCCCAGTCCCAGAAGCTTCCCAAATGCATTTAAAGCCCGCATTGGGTGAGTGTCGTTTATTTTGCATTTTAATCAGGAGTCTCCTTCCTAACTGAATAAAGATTCAACAAGAGGTGACTAGTTTTGAGATTGTTACTTTTCTGCTTATAAATTCTGTGTCTTTATACTCTGTCTCTCTCACTACACCTAAGGAAGGGGGCGAGCTCCGAAAGCTTGTGCTTTCAAATAAAGCTGTTGGATTATAACCTGGTGTGTGTGATTTTTGATCTTGATCACGAATGGTATTGGGAAGGGTTAATGTCAGGATGTGGATTTCGGCAGTGTGGGATGGCAGTGTGTTGATCATTAATGGTAGTGGGTTGGGTTCACTGAGGGAGTTGGGTCAGCACCAGGAGCTGTCAGCCTCTCTTTTTGACCAGGACTTCCAGCAAGCTGAGGTCTCAAGTACTCACTAGTTAGATTTAATCATTTCACTGTATTTTGCCTACTCGTGTGTTGACATCTGCCTTGATTTATTTACATTTATAGAAATTGCTTCTTCACCGAGCGCTAGCACTGTTCCCACACTGTGAGGAATTGTCCACTTTCTATCACCCTACAGCTTCACAATGGAAACTTCACTCAAAGGAAAAGTTGCTTCGAAGATTGAGTTCCCACCCGCAAATGAGAAACACTCCCGACTTAATAATCTGAAGGTATGGAAATATTGGATGCTCTTGTCAAACTCTTTGAACCCCCTTTGGTAAATGGACTCTTAAAGCCCCAAACCCAACATATAGACCTTTGTCCACTTAGCATCAGGCGCCATCATGTCTGTAGATTTTTATATAATGCTGCAAGCAATATTATTTGTATGTATAATATGTAAAACATGTCTGCTTGTCCATGGTTTGTTTTTATAACCAGTAGTTTATATTTGTGTTACGGTGTTTTGCTAAATAAGTTACCACATCCCCCCTGTAGTTTGTTCAGTGTTAAAGTTCAGCGCTTGCACAACCAAAAGCAAAATGTGTTTGCTTTGAGAGCCCTTTTTGTGCCAGAATAAATCTGACATCAAGGGTGATCGAATTTGAATGTGGCAACACAAACTTCATTGAACTGCTTCCAACAGTCTGCAGGGTCAACCAGGGGACAATCATATACACAATAAGAGGTCATTTGGTCAATTGGTCAATTGTGTTAGTGCCTGACTGTGTCCACTCTAAGTTCAAACTTGACTGCACAAAATAAACCTTGGTAGTATCTTAATTCAATTTCCAGGATGTCTTCCTGTTGACCAGAAACTGAACTGGGCCAACCATCTAATTAATGGGACTACTCTGACTTGGTTTTTGCTTCATAGTATTGAATCCATGAAAAAAGAGAAACAATTTGAAACTGTATTGGCCACAATATCAGATACCTCTAGCTCTGTGTAGTAGCTGTTTTTAATCAACTTGTTTGGAGATGTTATGATGCATCTGGAGCAAATGGAACTTGAACCCAGACCTCCTTATCCAGAGGTCGGGTCACAATCACTGCACCACAAGAGCCCTAGCTGAATTCCACTACCTTTTGAAACTAGTTGCACTGAATCAACTAACAGTTTTTCTAAATTCCTATTGTAAGGTTTCTTGTGACAAAGTGAGAGTGTTCCAACCTTTGGAGCAGGAAAGCCATGTTAAATTCCCACCTGCTCTAAAGTAAACAGGTTGATTAGAAAATATCTAAATACAGGCAATACCTGGGTCATGAACAGATTCTGTTCTGGAATTAATTTGCAAGTCAGTTTGTTACCAAGTTGGAGCACCATGCAGGACAATATAAAGTAACTGTTCATAAGCACAGGAAAAGTTTGCATGTTGGATCTTTAAAATTATACCCCTCTTTGGGATTATGTTCATAAGTACAAGCATTTATAAATTGGCCAATCATAAATTGGGACCTCCCCCAGTACATATCCTGTGCAAATTTCTCATAAACCTGAATATCAGAGCTTTAATCTGAGTAGCTTAGTTCCACCTTCTTTCAAGGCCTTATCATCTTACCAAGCCTGGGCCAGTGATTCTTTCCCAATATTGCATCCCCTATCTCCAGGATTTGAACGTACGCCCAGGATCACTTTCTGAGAGTATGCAGATCTGCTCAGGCTACAGCAGAAGATTCATCAAATCTGGTTAACTGTTCATTGTATTATTCCTGCTGTTCTAGTGGGCAGACGACAGCAGCTTATCAATGGTATGCATCGGCAACCAAAGAAATTCAGTCCAAACTTTGGCAAGCAAATTTTTGGATGCGGAAGGCTGCATGCATGCCATTCACTTTATTTAAAACTTAGAGTCTGTCTTTGAAGAATAATTTTGGATGGATAATTTCAGATCAAGAGTAAAGCATAGGTATTCTGCCCATCCCTTTTTTCACTCGTCACTCTCTGAGGGTGCGCCATTTGAGTTTCCAGCCTCTTTGCCAATGTTTTAGAGAGTCTGGGGACCTTTTGTACATCAGCCTGTCAATGGGTCCACAATGGCCAATCATGTAGAGTCATAGTCATAGAGTCAAATAGCACAGAAACAAACCCTCCGGTCCAAACAGTCCATGTGAAACATAATCCCAAACTAAACTAGTCCCACCTGCCTGCGCTTGGCCCATATCCCTCCAAACATTTTTTATTCATATACTTATCCAAATGTCTTTTAGATGTTGTAACTGTACCGACATCCACCACTTCCTCTGAAGTTCATTTCACACAGGAGCCAGTCTCTGTGCAAAGAAAATTTCCCTTTATGTCTTTTTCAAATCTCCTCTCACCTTAAAAATATAAGCCCTAGTTTTGAAATCCTCCACCCTAGGAAAATCACCTGCCACTCACCTTATCTATACCCCTTATTATTTTATAAATTTCTATAAGGTCACCTCTCAACCTCCTAAGCTCTAGTGAAAAAAGACTCAGCCTATCCAGCCTCTCCTTATAACTTATGTAGAGAAGACAAAATATATTCCTATATTGTCAAATTGGGTTAGAGTATAAGTTTAAGGCCATCATACTTGAATGAGGCAATATAGAGGGCAGACCTTGAATTCTGCTCTGTATTCTCACCACTGAGGCTCAACTTATAGAGGATAAAGAGACCTGTGAAAATTTTAGAAAAAAACATTTGACAATATGTCTAAGCAAAAAATATTTTCTTAGACGTAATGGAACTTAAAAATGTGAGCGCGCACTAATTGCTGTCACAGTCCGACCCTTCATTATTTCCCTCATCCTCCAAGAAGGACAAGTTAAATGTGACGTTTACTCATTCATTTACTCACTGCTGGCTGGGTCAGCCCTAGTTTCCCATGAGAACATGGAGGTGAGTGGACTTCTTGAACCGCTGCATTCCATTTAGTGTAAGTTGACCCACAATGTTGTTAGGGAAGAGATCCAGGATTTCGACCCAGCGACACTGAAGGAATGGTGACATCTTTTCAATTCAGGATGGTGAATGGCTTGGAAAGGAAATTCCCAGTCATGATGCGCCTGTGTATCTGCCAGTCCTGATTTACTGGATGACAGTGGTTGTGAGTTTGGTAGGTGGCCAGATGGTATACACTAATGCTATTGAGCTTTGGTGGCGGTGGGGGTGGATGTTTGTGAATGTGGTGCAAATCCAGCAAACTGACTTGTCCTGGATGGTGTCAAGCTTCTTGAGTACTGTTGGAGCTTCACCCATCCAGGCAAGTGAAGAACATTCCATCACACTCCCGACTTGTGCCTTGTAGATGATGAACAAGCTTTGGGGAGGAAGGAGTTCAGTTTCAGGATAAGTAGCCTGTGACCTGCTCTTGTAACCATCGTATTTATATGGCTATTCCAGTCCAGTTTCTGGTCAATGGTAACCCCGAGGATTAGGGTTTGGGGAATTCAACAATGGTAATGCTATTAAATGTCAGAGGGGGTGGTTAGATTCTATCTTATCAGAGGTAGTCATTGCCTGGTACTTGTGTGGTGTGAGTGATACCTGCCACTTATCAACCCAAGCCTGGGCATTGTTCAGGCCTTGCTGCATTTGGACAGAGACTCCTTCAGTATTGAAGGAGCCATGAATGGTGTTGGATAATGTGCATTCATCAGCAAACATCCCCATTTTTACCTTTAGGGTAGAAGGAAGGAAGTTCATTGAAGCAGCTGAAGATGGTTGAGCTTAGGACTCTACCCTGAGGAACTCTGGCACAGATATCCTGGAGCTGACAGGACTGAACTCCAACAACCACAACCATCTTCCTTTGTGCTAGGTATAACTCCAACCACTGGAGAGTATATCCCCCGATTTCCATTCATTCTAGTTTCGCTAGGGCTCCATAATGATCATTGACACTTGTGTGGTGCTAATGTTACCAGGCCAGAAATGTTGCCCACTACTGCTGATGGATCAAACAGTCAATGACGCCATAAAACATGTGCAAGAACCCAACTGAAAACAGAAATGTGTGGGGGTTGAAAGACAAGAGAAAAGATTGAGAAATATTCTCAAAATCGTATTTGCAAATCTTACTTCTGTGGAAATGCATTTGTACAATCCAATCAGCCCTGGGAATACCTGTTTATATGCATAGATCTTTGCCTAGAGCACTGCCCCAGAACAAGCAACAAGAAATTAAATAGTGCACTAAATGGCCAAATATCAGATGAAATGTGTATCAGCTTCTTTTCCCTACTTTGAGCTGGATCGGGAACATGACTCTTCATCACTGTAGCATTATTTATCCTGACAAAGCAGAAGGAGCTATTCTTTTTAACATGGAGATATGTTTTGATGATTTCCGATTTAAATTAACAAAACCAATGAGCATTTATTAACAACTATCTCGCATTTTCATAGTTATTTCTTGCGGCCTTGTCCTGCTTGTACTTTGCAAAAGCGTTATCAGGGAGCTATATGAAGAGTACAATAACGCAGATAGAGAGACGCTTCGATATTCCAAGTTCACTCATTGGTGTTGTTGATGGAAGTTTTGAAATCGGTGAGTACTGATCCAAAAATTCTCAAACAGAACAGAAACCAAACTTGCATGTTATTAACAAGATGGTCTACTTTGTTTATCTCTTTTTGGCTAAGGGAACCTGTTGGTGATTGTATTTGTGAGCTACTTTGGAGCAAAGTTTCACAGGCCCAGGCTAATTGCAATTGGAAGTGTGGTAATGGCTATTGGAACTTTTTTAATAGCTTCACCTCATTTCTTCATGGGACGGTGAGTTTTTAAATTATACAATGTGTTATAAATACACGGTCACATGCAGGCATACATTTACAACGCATACATTTTGTGTATGTTTAATTATGCAGAATGATAGAGCTCTGAAGCAGGCTATTTAACCTGTCATAATTCAGCTCTACATTTCTGAACAACTACATTCCTCCTATTTTTCACCAAAGCCTCACAATCATTACCAGTTAAATTATTTATCCAATTTGCTGTTGAAAATTACTACAGAATCTGCTTCCATCTCCTTTTCAGTGCATTCCAGATTGTAACTTGCTGGATAATCTTTTTTTTTCCTTTTATTGTCTCTGGTTCATTATCAAGTTAATTGAATCTGTGTCCTTTGGTTAGTGATCACTCTGACAGTCTTTCCTCATTCACTGACTTTGAACATTGTTCTCCTTGGAGCAGAGTACATTAATGCTCAATTTCTGTCGTTATTTTGCACAAAATAATCACAGCAACATTCTAGTAATCCTCATTTGCACACTCTCCAGTACTTTTGTGATCCTTCCGATAACATAATGCCTATAATTGGCTGCAACGATCCACCTACTGCCAAATATTTGGATTAGACTGTTTTGAATTGTCTTGTGATTCTGGACTACATAAATGGAAGTTGCGGTTATGATGTATTATAATCATTTAACCCAACTTTCTTTTTATTCTGTACAGTCTGCCTCTGTCAATAAAGATAAGGATCTTATATGCCTTTTTGTTGCAATCAGACCCTAGGCAGTGTTCCCCAAGTTATGACTGTTCCATATGAGATACCTCAAATCTTTAAGATCCCGGGTGAGAAGGGATGAATTAGCTCCCCTTTAATCACTTGCTTTCCACCCCGTCCTCTCCACATTTTGTGGATACCTTTTTCTGAAACCAAATTAATTTTGTTTTACGAGGAACTAATTCAACCAGGCACTCGTGAGTTAACAGAAGACTGAGTTATACGTTACAAAACTCAAAAAAGAAATAATAATACAACACGCACACACAGGTTAGAAATAAGATAATCCACGCAAAGATAATCGTTGTACAGATCAGATTGGTTGGCTGAAGGGCCTGTTCTTATGCTGTACTGTTCTGTTATGTTTATGAAGAGTAGAAAGTGCCATGTTACTAGTCGAACAGTTGATGTTAGGATTGTTGGCTTCACGGTTATTTTTCCTTTTGACTGGTCAGTAATACTTGTTAACACTCAGCAAGAGAGTTCTTCTTGTCCTAAGATAACAAGGTGTAGAGCTGAATGAACCCAGCAGGCCAAGCAGCATCAGAGGAGCAGGAAGGCTGACGTTTCGTGCCTAGACCCTTCTTGTCCTGTTCCTTTTTGACTGGCTTGCTGGTTAGTTGACTTCTCACACTTGGAGCAAGAGAGTCCTGTTAACTGCAATGCAGGGGTGACTAGTGGATGGATCTTTGACTGTGAGCTTTACGGCACACTAGAACTTATTAGTAAACAGGAATATACACAAGCACGCTTTCTTCGCCAACAAACACAGATCAAATCCAGTCCTATTCCAGTCCCCACCTATAACTCTTTTTCCAGTGTATCGATGATATCATCGGTGCTGCTTCTCTCTCTCGCCCAGAATTGGAAGAGTTTATCAATTTTGCTTCCAATTTCCACCACATTCTCACTTCCACCTGGTCCATCCCTGACTCCTCTCTAACCTTCCTTGACATCTCTGTTTCCATTTCTGGCCACCAATATCCACTATAAACTCACCGACTCTACATCCTCTCACCGCACTTCCTGTCAATACTCTATTCCATTCTACCAGTTCCTCCGTCTCCATCACATCTGTTCTGATGATGCCAGCTTCGAAAAGGGGGCCCCTGAAATATCCACCTTCTTCCTCAACTGAGGTTTCCCCAGCACCATCGATGACAGGGCCCTCAGACAGGTCCGACCGATCTCCCGCACTTCAGCCCTCACCCGCTCTCTTCCTCCCACAACAGCGATAGGTCCGCCTTGTCCTCACCTACCATCCCACCAACACTCACATCCAGAGGATCATTAGATGCCATTTTTGCCAGTTTCAGCAGGATGCCACCACCAGACACATATTCCCATCCCCTCCCTCATGAGACTTCCCCCAACATTGTTCCCTTTGGGTCACCCTGGTCTGCTCCTCCTCCACTACCAACAACCCCCCACAGCCCCATGGCACCTTCCCCTGCAATAACAGAAAGTGTAACCCCTGCCCATTTATTTCTCCCTCCTCAGTAACCAAGGGCCCAAATACACCTTCCAGGTGAAGCAGCACTTCACCTGCACTTCCCAGAATCTAGTCTACTGCATTCGCTGCTCACAATGTGGTTTCCTCTACTTTGGGGAAACGAAGCGTGGACTGGGGCGACCAATTTACAGAATATGTACATTCTGTCCAGAATATAAAGACCCTGAGGTTCCAGTTGCCTGCCATTTCAACACATCACCCTGTTCCCTGGCCAACATTTCTGTCTCAGGTTTGCTGCAGGGCTTCAGTGAAGCGAAACTCAAGCTGAAGGAATAGCACTTCATTTTCTGCACTTCACTTCAAAGCCTTCTGGACTCAATATTGAGTTCAACAATTTTAGGGCATGAGGCACCTTCTCCTATGTCCTCACCCCAACCCCCACACAACAGGCCTTGTTATCACATAGTCTGCTATTACACATAGCCCATTGTTAACCACTAACAATTCCCATTAGCAGCTATTCATTCTCCTAGGCTTACTGTTACCCACTCCTTTGTCTGTTCAACTGTTCTCTCTCTTTGGGCACTATCTCCACCTATCATTTACTGTTTACCCCCTTTTATCTTCTGCATAAAAACAACTGTTTCCTAGCTACCATCAGTTCTTTAGAAGGGTCTCGAGACCCAAAATGTTAACTCTGATTTCTATCCACAGATGCTGCCACATCTGCCAAGCTTTTCTAGCAATTTCTGTTCTTGCTTCTGATTTCCAGCATCCACAGTTCTTTTGCTTTTTAAAAAACAGAAATCAGTTGGCCCTTAACCTTTTTTTGTATGTTCTTGGAAGGGCAAAACAAAATGTATCTGCGAGAAGTTGTTTCTGTTAATAGAGAGACAATAGTCAGCTCGCATGTTAACCCTTCCTGTTAAATCACTCTCTCACTGCTTAAAGTTTACCTTGCCTTCATCGCTCAATCCTTTGCGTGTAGGATTTGGGACATCACGTTGAGGTTGTACAGGATATTGGTGAGGCCTGTTCTGGAGTACTGTGTCCAGTTCTGGTCTCCCTGTTACAGGAAAGATATCATTAAGCTGGAGAGGGTTAAGAAAAGATTCAGCAGGATGTTGCCCGGAATGGAGAGTTTGAGTTATAAGCAGAGGCTAGATAGGCTGGGGTAGTAGGAACTGCAGATGCTGGAGAATCTGAGACAACAAGGCGTAGAGCTGGATGAACACAGCAGGCCAGGCAGCATCAGAGGAGCAGGAAGGCTGACGTTTCGGGCCTAGACCCTTCTTCAGAAACGAGGGAGGGGAAGGGGGTTCTGAAATAAATAGGGAGAGA